TGTACTTGTGTAACCACCATCACAATCAAGAAAAATAACATTTCTCTCACCCAGAAATGGTCCCTTTGGCCTTTTCCCGGTTAATCCCACGCCAGTCCCAAGTAACCACTTTCTGTCTGCATGGATTAGTTTTGCCTGTTCTGGGGCTACACGTAAATCGATGCACATGGTACGTAATCCTGTGTGTCTGTCGTCTTTCACTTTGGCACGTTTTGAAGACTCAGCTGAGTACTTCTGTTTCAGTAGCTCTTTCTCTTTGTGAGTAGTGTTCCATTGTAGGGGTAAACAGTGCTTATTATTCACCTGTTGATGGAAATTTGGGTTTCCAGTTTTGGCTGTTATGAATAAAACTGCAATGAGCATTTGTGTAAAAGTGTTTTATTTGGACATGCCTCTTTATTTCTCTTGGGTAAGTGCCTAGGAATTGAATTGCTGGGTTATGAGATACATGAATTTTAACTTTATAAGGAGTAGCCCAGAAGTTCTCTATAGTGGTTGTGCCATTGTACCCTCTGCCACTGTCAGGGCTCCAGAGGCCCACGTCCTTATCAACACTTGGTATTAGCCCTCTTCTGAAACCTGGTGGCGTAGGTGACACCTTTATGCTTCTGGTTTGTGTTCGCCTGCTCCGTGATGGTGAGCATCTCTCCATGTACGTGTTGCCAGTCTGTCTCACCTTTTGTGATGTGTCTGTTCACATCTTTTGCCCACTTTAAAATTGGGCTGTTTGTCTTATTATTTACTTGTAAGAGTCTTTTCTATATTGGGTCAAAGTCTCTTCCAAATACATATTTATGATGAGTACTTTTTAGTCTTTGGCTTACCTTTTAATTTTCTTCAGATTTAACTTAAAAAAATTTAAAGGTCCAATTTACCAAAAACAAAAATTGGCGGGGATAATTAGGTTTTTTTAAATTTCTTAATGGAGGTATTGAGGATGGAACCCAGGACCTTGTGCATGCTAGGCATGTGCTCTACCACTGAGTTACACCCTCACTGCCCCCCCCCCGCCAATTTTTAAAATAGTTTATGCTTTTTGAGTTCTAGCTTGGTTTTTTTAAAAGCCTTTTTCCCATTGACATTGCCAGTGTGTAGAAATAGATTTGATTTTTTTTTGTAATTGACCTCATATCCTGCAACCTAGATAAATTCATTTATTGGTTCCAATAGCTTTTTCCTAGATTCTTCAGCATTTTCTGTGTAGATAATCAAAGAATGTTACCTCTCCCTTTCCAGTTTATATAGACTTTGTTCCTTTTTTTTTCTTTTTTGCTTTATTGCACTGCTAAGGCGTTCTGTACAGTTTTCAGTAGAGGTGGTGAGAGGACGTCCTTGTCTTGATACCAGTGTAACATTGCTCTCAGTTGTGAATTAGTCTCCCCACATCTATTTTCTGAAGTTGTTTGTGTAATAATATTTCTTCCCTAGGTGTTTGATAGCTTTCACCAGTGAAATCCTGGGGAGTTCTTTGTGGGAAAATTAGAATTCAATTCCTCTTAACAGATACAGCACTTACTCGAATTTTTCTATTTCGTCTTGTGCCAATTTTGGTAACTTGTATCTTTCGAGAATTACTTATTTCATCTAATACAATTGCATAAAGTTGGCATAAAGTTGTTAAAATTTTTTTCATTGTTTTTGTGCATTCCATTTTACTTAACTAATTATACTTGAAATGATGTCCCCTCTTTTCCTGGTGGACACTGTGTCTTGTGTTTTTCTGATCAGTCTAGCTAGAGCGTTACCCACGTCCTTAGTCCTTTCAAAGCAGTAGCTTTGGTTTTTCTTGATCTTCTCTATTGTCTCTTGTCTATTTCATGAAAGTAGAATCATTTTCTTTCTTTCCTTCACCTTTGAGCTCATTTTCCCTTCCCTTCTTTAGCTTATGAAAGTGGAAGCTTAGGGCTTAGTTTTCAGACCTTTCATCTTTTCTGACTTAAACGTTTAAAGCCAGCAGTTTTCCTCTAAACACTGCTTTAGCCGCATTCCCTAAATTTTGATACATTTTCATCACTCTTCCGGGGGCCAGGGAAGGTGGGCGGAACTCGCGCGCACCAGGAAGACGAACGCCTGGAGGGGCGGGAGGGCCGCTTCCGGGAAAAGCACTTCCGCTGGGAAGTCAGCGGAAGTGGGCGGGAGCAGCAGGGGGAGGGGCCGCGAGCGCGGGGCTCGGCCGGCTGCGCGCCCCCCCCCGGCTCTCCGCGGCCCTGCGGGGTCCGCCCGTCGGTCAGCAGTGCGCCCGCGGCCCCGGCTGCCCCAGCGCGCCCTCCGCGCCTCGGCTCGTCCGCCCGCGCGCTCTCCGGCGGCGCCCTCCCCGGGCGACCCGTCGGTGGCCGAAGGCTGCTTCCGCGTCTGTGACTCCGCCGGGCGCTCCGGCAGGATCCGGCTGTGGGTGCAGCTGCCGGCTTAGTCTCTAAGGCACCCCATCTCCGCGCCCCGGTTCACGGCTCCTCCTCTGGGGGAGCCGCGTCTCTCGCCTTGCCTGCGCTTCAAGTCCATCGGCGTCTTCGGTCATTCCCGCCTCTCGCTTTCCGCCGTCCCCCTTCCTCTCTCCCCTCGACTGTGCGTGGGCAGTGGTCGTCTCCCTGTCTTACCCCCGCCCCGCCCCGCCTTGCTGCCTTCTGATTTTGTCACCGCGGGGGGATCTTTCTGAAAAGTAACTTGCCACAAAGGTCAGGACCTTTTCTGCCGTTCCTGTAAAACCATGGCTCA